ATTTATTTTTCATTTCCTTATATCTTCTATAGGTATTCTCCTTGTCATTACCATGGGACTTACATAAGACTTCTCATAATATCACAGTTTATTTCATGCTAGTAAGATTTAACTCTATGAATATAAATGGCCTCAACTCTCCAGTTAAAAGACACAGACTGGCTTAATGGATTAAAAAACAAAATCCATCTATTTGCTGCTTACAAGAAACACATCTTTCTAACAAAGATGCATGCAGACTAAAAGTGAAATGTGGGAAAATGATATTCCATGCCAACAGAAACCAAAAAAGATCTGGCATAGCCATCTTAGTATCAGACAAAATAAACTATAACACAAAAAGTGTAAAGAGAGACAAAGACGGGCACTATATAATGATCAAGGGATCAATTCAACAGGAAGATGTAACTATTGTAAGCATATATGCACCTAATTACAAGGCACTGGTTTATTTAAAAATATGTTAAGGAACTTAAAGGGAGACTTAGACTCCAATACAATAGTATTCGGGGACTTCAATACTCCGTTTTCAGCAATAAACAGATCATCCAGACAGAAGATCAACCAGGAAACAGCAGATTTAATCAATACTATATACCAAATGGATCTAACAGATATATACAGAACTTTTCATCCTACATTTAAAGAACACACATTCTTCTCAGCAGAACATGGAACCTACTCTAGGACTGACCACATACTATGCCATAAAGCAAGTCTCAGCAAATTCAAAAGAATTGAAATCACACTATGCATCATCTCAGACCACAATGGAATGAACCTGGAAATTAGCATTACAGGAATTCCTAGAGCACATACAAATACATGGAGACTGAACAACATGCTCCTGAATGAACAGTGAGTCATAGAAGAAATCAAAAGACAAATCAAAATATTTCTGGAAGTAAATGAAGATAACAACACAACATATCAAAACTTATGGGATACAATAAAAGCAGTGTTAAGAGGAAAGTTTATAGCAATAGGTACCTACATCAAGAAACTGGAAAGGCACAAAATAAATGAGCTATCAATGCATCTTAAGGATCTAGAAAAATTGCAGCAAACCAGACCCAAAACTAGTACAAGAGTAAAAATAATGAAAATTAGAGAAGAAATCAACAGAATTGAATCAAAAAAAATTTACAAACGATCAGCAAAATGACGATCTGGTTATTGAAAAAATAAACAAAATTGACATAGCATTGGCCCAACTAACAAAAAAAAAAAAAAAAAAAAAAAAAAAAAAAGGAGAGAGAAGACCCAAATCAATAAAATCAGAGATGAAAAAGGGAATGTAACAACAGACACCACAGAAATAGAGAGACATCAGAAATTACTACAAAGTGTTGTATGCCAGCAAATAGGAAAAATGTATCAGAAATGGGTAGATTCCTGGACACATACAACCTACCTAATTGAACTATGAAGTCATAGAAAACCTAAACAGTCCCATAAATAATCAGAAATTAAATCAGTAACAAAGGCCCTCCCAACAAATAAAGCCCAGGACCAGATGGATTTACTGCTGAATTCTACCAGACATTTAAAGAAGAACTAACTCCAATTCTTCTCAAACTATTCAGAACAATCGAAAAAGAGGGAATCCTCCCAAAATCGTCTATGAAGCCAGCATCACCTTAATTCCTAAACCTGAAAAAGATGCAGCATTGAAAGAGAATTTAAGACCGATTTCCCTGATGAACATAGACACAAAAATCCTCAATAAAATTCTGATCAATAGAATTCTAAAACACTTCAGAAAGATCATCCACCCAGACCAAGAGTGATTTACCACTGATTTGCAGGGATGATTTAACATTCGCAAATCAATCAATGTGATGCACCACATTAACAAACTGCAGAAGAAAAATCATATGATTATCTCAATAGATGCAGAGAAATCATTTGATAAAATACAACAGCCTTTAATGAGGAAAACTCTAAGCAAATTGGGTATAGAAGGAATATTCCTCAATACAATCAAAGCAATTTATGAAAAACCCAAGGCCAGTATCTTATTGAATGGGAAAACTTGGAAGCTTTTGCATTGAAATCTGGTACCTGACAGGGATGCCTACTCTCACCTTTGCTATTCAATATAGCTCTGGAAGTTTTAGCCAGAGCTGTTAGACAAGAAAAAGAAATTAAAGGGAAACAAATTGGGAAGGAAGAAGTCAAACTATCGCTCATTGCAGATGATATGATTCTTTATTTAAGGGATCCAAAGAACTCTACTGAGAGACCATTGGAACACATAGAAGATTTTGGCAAAGTAGCAAGATATAAAATCTCTGCACAAATCAATAGCCTTTGTACACACAGGTAATACCATGGCTGAGAAAGAACTTCTAAGATCAATCCTAATCACAATAGCTATAAAAACAATCAAATACCTTAGAATAAACTTAATCAAGGACATTAAAGATCTCTACAATGAGAATTACAAAATCTTAAAGAAAGAAATAGAAGAGGAATTTTTCCAAATAGAAGAGGATTTTTCCAAAAAATGGAAAAATCTTACATGCTCATGGATTGGAATAATCAATATCATGAAAATGTCCACTCTCATACCAGGGTCTATTCCTATGCTATGGCACTGAAACATGCAAATACGAAGCCATTAGAAGTACACTTCGTGAAATTTTAAGGACAAAGAGGACACTGGCCACGTCTTTTTAAACGAGACCACCAGGCCTTCTTCACTGAGACTTTGTATTCAACTTAGCTGACTGTAGATTTGAAATTAGTTTTTTCATAAAATAAAAAGCAGCACAGAGTGAAAAAAAAATCCACTCTCCCTAAAGAAATTTATAGATTCAATGTGATACCAATCAAAATACCAAAGTCAATCTTCTCAGATCTGTAAAAAAATGATGCTGAAATTCACATGGAGGCACAGAAGACCTCGAATAGCTAAAGAATCTTGGACAACAAAAACAAACCTGGAAGCATCACAATGCCAGATTTCAAGACATACTTCAGGGCAGTTGTAATTAAAACAACATGGTACTGGTACAGAAACAGATGGATAGACCAATGGAACAGAATAGAAATACCAGAAATCAACCCAATCATCTACAGCCAATTTATATTTGATCAGGATCTAAAACCAATTCCTTTAGCAAGGACACTCTATTCAACAAATGGTGCTGGGAAAACTGAATTTCCACATGCAGAAGCATGAAGCAAGACCCCTACCTTACACGTTACACAAAAATCCACTCCACATGGATTAAATATCTAAATCCACAACCTGACACCATCAAATTATTAGAGAACATCAGAGAAACCCTGCAAGATATAGGCACACGCAAAGATTTCTCGGAAAAGATCCCAGAGGCAGCGGCAGTCAAAGCCAAAATTGACAATTGGGATTGCATCAAATTGAGAAGTTTCTGTACTTCAAAAGAAATAGTCAGGAAAGTGAAGAGGCAACCAATAGAAGGGGAAAAATATTTGCATATTATGCAACCAATAAAGATTTAATAACTAGAATCTACAAAGGATGAAGAATCTCCACAACAACAAAACAAACAACCCACTCAAGAGATGGGCCAAGTACCTCAATGGACATTTTTCAAAACAGGTAATCCAAATGGCCAACAGACACATGAAAAAATGTTCAGGATCACTAGCCATCAGAGAAGTGCAAATCAAAACCACAATGAGGTTTCATAGAATGGCTTCCATACAGAAATAAACTAACAACAGATGCTGGCGAGGATGTGGGGAAAAAGGGACACTAACCCACTCAGTGGGAATGCAAACTGGTAAAGCCTCTATGGAAGTCAGTCAGGAGATTCCTCAGAAACCTGAATATAACCCTAACATACAACCCAGCCATCCCACTCCTTGGAATTTACCCAAAGGAAATCAAATTGGCAAATAAATGAGCTGTCTGCACCTCGATGTTATTGCAGCTCAATTCACAATAGCTAAGACCTGGAATCAACCTAAATGCCCATCAACAGAAGATTGGATAAAGAAATTATGGGAAATGTATATAGGATACTATACAGCAGTCAAAAACAATGAAATCTGGTCATTCGCAACAAAATGGAGGAATCTGGAAAACATCATGCTGAGTGAAATGAGCCAGTCCCAAAGGGACAAATATCATATGTTTATCCTGATCGGTGACAACTAACCAAATACCAAAAAGAAACCTGGTGAAGTGAAATGGACACTATGAGAAACAATGACTTGATCAGCCCTTGTCCTGTCAAGGAACAACTTAGTATTTTATTCCTTTTAGTATTTTTTTGTTCTACTTAATACCATTGGTTGAACTCCTTAATTAACACACAATTAGTCTTAGTCATTTAAATTTAACTGAAAATTGATCCCTGTTAAATATAAGAGTGGGAATAAGAGAGGGAGAAGATGTATAGTTTGGCACATTCTCACTTGGACTTACCCCCAATGGTAGAGCTAGAAATGTGTCAGGGGATTCCAATTCATCCCCATCTAGGTAGCATGTACCAATGCCATCTTACTTGTTAAAGTGATCAGTTTAAGTTCATAATTGATCAAAAAGATAAATTTAAGTGTCAATGGGATTACATAAATAAGACCAGTGTCTGTAAATAATAATTGATAGAATTAAAAAGGAGAGAATGATCCTACATGGGAAGTGGGATACACAGCAGACTCATAGAATGGCAGATGCCCTAAACAGCACTCTGACCTCAGAATAAGTCCTTAAGGATTCAGATCTGGCTAATAAGCCCATGAGTTTCTCAGGCATGGAAAGCCAAGACGTTGTGGGGAAAAAAAAAAAAAAAACCTAAATGAAAGATCTCTGTGAGTGAGATCCCAGAAGAAATAAAAGGCCATCAATGAAGGATCTACCTTTCTCTGAAGGGAGGAGAGAACTTCCACTTTGACTATGGCCTTGTCTAAATAAGATCAGAGTTTGTGAACTCAAGAGGCTTTCATAGCCTTGGCAGCTCATAACAAGTGCCTCAGGTGATTACTGACATCATGAATAAGAATGTCAATTGTTAAATCAACAATGGAGTCACTGTGCGCCTGCTCCCCATGTAGGATCTCTGTCCTTAATGTGTTGTACTATAAGAATTAATGGTAAAACTACTACTCAAAGAGTACTCTATACTTTGTGTGTCTGTGTGGGTGCAGTCTGTTGAAATCTTTTCTTAGTATATATGAAGTTGTTCTTCTGTATATAAAGATAATTGAAAATATATCTTGATGAAAAATGACATGTGAGAGTGGGAGATGGGATGGTTGTGGGTGGGAAGGAGGTTATGGGGGCAAAAGCAGCTATAATTCAAAAATTGTGCTTTGGAAATTTATATTAAATAAAAATTGGAAAAAGGATTAAAAATAATGCTTAGCTCTAATAAGATGCAACATATCTACACTCTACTTCTCATTCACTTTACATTATTAATGCCATATTTTTTGTTTCTGTCTTTAACTTCTGTGCTAGAATTAAATATCTTTTATACATCACATTTACAGTGTTGCTGTGTTCTGCATTGATCTATATGTTTATCTTAACCTAGACTTCTAAAAATTTTCTATGCATTCATGTTGCTTCTAGTTATTTAAGAAGATCTTCCTTAACATTTTTTTAAATGTCTAGTGATTATAAAACCAGTCTATTTCGGTGTACCTGAGACAGTTTTTATATCTTCTTAATTTTTGATGGATATTTCCCATATTTAATACCCTTGCTCTTCCTTTTTTTTTCTTTCAGGTTCATCAATATATCATCGGACTCCTTTTTATCCTTTGAGATTTCTGCTGAGAAACTTGCTGATACTGTTATAATTATTTCATTTTATGTGACAAGTCATTTTTCTCTCACTGCATTCAATTTGCCCTTTGATTTTTATGCACCTTATTTTTCTTCATTCAGTTAATATTACTTGGAATCCATTGAGTGTCCTGGATCTGGATGTCCATTCGCTTCCCTAGATTTAGTTTGTATTCAGCCATTATTTCTTTGAATAGATTTTATAGTCTCTTTTCTTCTTATTTATGGATAATCTGTGCACAAATTACTCCCATAATGCATCTACTGATCCTCTTGAAACATACTTCTTCTTTCCCTGTATGAGTTTCTTTTTTGTCCTCTGACTATAATTTCAAATTACTTATGTACTAGTTTATGGATTCTTTCTGCTATTTGAGGCTTACTGTTTAAGTCCTTTAGTAATTTTTCAGTCATTTTATTATGTTCTTCACCTCTAAGATTTATGGTTAATTATTTTGTATAAATTGTAGCTCTTTGTTGACATTCTAATATTGTATATGTATTTTCTCCTGAACTCATGGAGCACATTCATGACAACAATCAGACATAGAAAATATTGTGGGAGATCTCTCAAACCTTTCCTTCCTATGTGTTTTCTCTGGAGTGGTGTGTATAAATTCCAGGTCAGAGAGACTGGTGTAATTTTATAGGTATTTGTGATCTCTTTCTCTTCTCTGTTTTTTGTTGTTGTTCTGTGGATCTAATAATGCAGCAGGATGCCCTCAACTGTTTTCTCAGTGGATCCTTCGTCTAACACATGCCAGGTTTTATCAGTGCTCTGACACAGGGAAGCAGAAGCCTGATCTTTTGGTAGCATTTCAAAAAGTGGAATATTGGATGCACAGTCCAGATCTTTTCCTTTTAGAGAAAAGCTTCCATTTTTGGCTTCTGGAACTTTCTCTAGATTGATCTGGGGAAGGAGATTGTGGTGAGTGGGTGTTTGCTGATTCATTACATCCTTGTACTCAGTGACTCCATTGTGGAATCATTTGTTTGCCATGCTTAGATTTTGGCAAAGGAGAAAGATATTCACTGATGAAATCCAGAATGATATTTATCCCTTTGGGACCGGCTTAATTCACTCAGCATGATGTTTCCCAGATTCCTCCATCTTGTTGCAAATGACCGGGTTTCGTTGATTTTGACTGCTGTATAGTATTCTATAGATTACATGTCCCATAATTTCCTTATCCAGTCTACTGTTGATGGGCATTTGGGTTGATTCCAAGTCTTAGCTATTGTGAATTGAGCTGCAATAAACATTAAGGTGAAGACAGCTTATTTGTTTGCCAATTTCATTTCCTTTGAGTAAATTCCAAGGAGTGGAATGGCTGGGTTGCATCTGTTGTTGGTAGATTTCTGAATGTAAGCCATTCTAACAGGGGTGAGGTGAAACCTCATTGTGGTTTTGATTTGCATTTGATTTGCTAGTGATCCTGAACATTTTTTCATGTGTCTGTTGGCCATTTGGATTTCCTCTTTTGAAAAATGTCTATTGAGGTCCTTGGCCCATCTCTTGAGTGGGTTGTTTGTTTTGTAGTTGTGGAGATTCTTTATCTCTTTGTAGATTCTAGTTATTAAATCTTTATCGGTCCCCCAAAGGGACAAACGTCATATGTTCTCCCTGATCGGTGACAACTAACTGAGCACCAAAAAGGAAACCTGGTGAAGTGAAATGGACACTATGAGAAACAGTGACTTGATCAGCCCTTGTCCTGACTATTGATGTATAATTTAATACTTTATCCCTTTTAGTATTTTTTTTTGTTCCACTTAATAGTATTGGCTGAACTCTGTAATTAACACACAATTATTCTTAGGTGTTTAAATTTAACTGAAAAATGATCCCTGTTAAATATAAGAGTGGGAATAAGTGAGGGAAGAGATGTACAATTTGGGACATGCTCAATCGGACTTGCCCCAAATGGTGGAGTTGGAAATGTGCCAAGGGATTCCAATACAATCCCATCAAGGTTGCATGTACCAATGCCATCTAACTAGTCAAAATGATCAGTTTCAGTTCATAATTGATTATAATGATAGGACTAAGAATCAAAGAGATCACATAAACAAGACTAATGTCTGCTAATACTAACTGATAGAATAAAAAGGTGAGAGAACGATCCAACATGTGAAGCAGGATACACAGCAGACTCATAGAATGCAGATGTCCTAAACAACACTCTGGCCTCAGAAACAGCATTTAAGGCATTTGGATCTGGCTGAAGAGCCCATGAGAGTATTTCAGGCATGAAAAGCCAAGACACTCTGGAAAAAAAAAAAAAAAAAAAACCTAAATGAAAGAGCTCTGCGAGTGAGATCCTAGTAGAAAGAATGGGCCATCAAAGAAGGAGGTACCTTTCTCTGAAGGGAGGAGAGAACTTCCACTTTGACTATGACCTTGTCTAAATAAGATCGAAGTCGGCAAACTCAAAAGGCTTCCATAGCCTAGGCAACTCATGACTAGAGCCTAGGGAGATTACTGACGCCATAAACAAGAGTGCCAAATTGTTAAATCAACAACAGGAGTTACTGTGTACTTACTCCTCATGTAGGATCTCTGTCCTTAATGTGTTGTTCATTGTGAATTAATTCTATAACTAGTACTGAAACAATATTTTACACTTTATGTTCTGTGTGGGTTCAAACTGATGAAATCTTTGCTTAATATATACTAAATGGATCTTCTGTATATAAAGAGAATTGAAAATGAATCTTGATGTGAATGGAATGGGAGAGGGAGCAGGAGAGGGGAGGGTTGTAGGTGGGAGGGAAGTTATGGGGGGGGGGGAGCCATTGTAATTCATAAACTGTACTTTGGAAATTTATATTTACTAAATAAAAGTTTTTTTAAAAAAAAGAAATCCAGAAGAATGAGAATATCTGTTGAATGGCCCCAACCTATTCTTCTCTCTATAATGAGAAACTGGAAATTATAGCTCCAATTAATCATTGGAAGACATAAGAAATGCCCTTTAATTAAATAAACAAACATGAATGGGACATAAAAAGATTATCAATATCATAAACCATTAAAGATATATAAATCAAACCATTAATCAATTTTATATCCATTAAGATGATTATAATCAGAAATAAAAATGATAAGTATTGGCAAGGATATTGAGAAATTAAAACCTTCATTCAACACTTAAGGGAGTATAAAGTGGTGTATCTTTATGTATGTATGTATGTATGTATTTATTTATTTATTTAAAAGGCTGAGTTACACAGAGAGAGAAGAAAAGGTAGAGAGAGAATGAGGTGTTCCAACTGCTGGTTCACTCTCCAAGTGGTTGCAATGGCCAGAGCTGGGCTGATCCAAACCAGGATCCAGGAGCTTCTTCTTGGTCTCCCACACAGGTGCAGGGGCCCAAAGACTTGGGCCATCTTCTACTGCTTTCCCAGGCCATAGCAGAGAGCTGAATGTAAAGTGGAGCAGCTGGGTCTTGAACTGGCGCCTATATGGGATGCTGGCACTGCAGATGGCAGCTTTACCTGCTACGCCACAGTGCCAGCCCCAAAATGGTGCATCTTCTTTAGAAAATATTATCTTACCTTCTACGTATGTTAAACAGAGTTACTGCATAGCCTAGCATTTTGTTCTCATGCCCACACAAAAGTTACACATAAACGTTAGTTGTATCAGCAATCATAATAGCCATAGTGCCTGAATTATTACTTAATTAGTATTTTAAAATATAAAAGCTTTATTAAATGTTATGTGTTCAAATATGAGCTTATACATAAAGTTTAAAATTATATTAATTACTGCCTTGGTCTGGGAGAGATGTGATTGTAGAGGAACATCCATGAGCAGGAGACTTCTTTTTGGGTTGATAAGGCATGATGAAATTATAGTGGTTAAGCATCTTTGGCTGCATAAATTAAAAAAAAAAAAACTTGAATATATGCTTTAAATGGAGGAGCATTTCATTGCATATGAAATATATGAGTGTATTAATAGTTACATGGATAATGTAATTATATATTATTCTGATTAACTTTATGCCACTCAAAATTCATACTGTTTTGCTTTTTAGCAAAATACAGTGATTTACTGTGCCTAATATTTTATCAAACTATTCTAAAATCTGACGTTACAAATCAATATCCCGTTTTCTAGTAATAATCTCTGATTTCTATATGAATAAATTTAACTTTTTGATTAAATGTTATCATAGTATTGGATAACTTTTATTATACTTTGTGTGCTAAGCAGGCTACAAATAATATGGATAAAATAAGTGCTGGAAAGCTATATATCTATTGAAAGAAAATCATTGATCTTGAAAATTTATTTTTATACAATAAATGAAGTTATTGGGAATGTATAATGAATTTCTACTAATGTCTACTTTTTTAAAAAATGCTTTCAGCCATTATTAATAAAAATCATTTATTAACTTGAAAGGCAGAGTGACAGACACACATGCACACACACACACACACACTCATGCGCATAGGTGTACACAGTGTGAGAGAGTGAGATCTTCCATCTGTAGGTTTACTCCCAAAATGGCTGCAACAGGTTTTTCCTGATTCTTTTCTCCTGAAGCCAGGAAATAGAAACTTCATTCTTGTCTCCTATCTATGTGGCAGGGGGCAAAGTATTTGGGCCATCTTCCATTGTCTTCCCCAACATGTTAGCAGGAAGCCTGACTGAAAACAATGGAGCCGGGACTTGAACCAGAGCTCCAGTATGGGATATTTGCATCACAGTCCTTAACATTGGATCCTTAGTCATTTAATATATTTTTCTTGTTTGTATCTCTATATTAAGAACTACACACAAATGTTATATATTTTTGAAGTCTTATGCTTAATATTGGCTTTAGGCTATCACATTTAAGGACTATATAGGAGTCTGTTTTTTTTAGCCACATTACCACTAGGGTTTGGATAGGAGCACTACTAACTTCTTGCTTGTATGGAAATAGGCAAATTACTTGCCTGCATTTGAGTATAGTATTTTGTTCTTAAAAATGAGATAGCAACACTCTGCCTCATTGAATTGTATGAACACAAAATGAATGAATACAGAAAGCAACCAATGGCATTACGTGTTCAATGAGACTTAGTCTGTTACTCCTTCTACTCATGGCCAAATTCTTAGATTTCCTTTGGTACTTTCTACCACTCAGTCCACTTAACAAAGAGTTAGCACTTGACTCTTTCTAAATGTCTGCATAGTATAAAATTAATCTCTAAATGCACTTCTGCTAACCTACTTTTATCTCTTTCAAAGTATTTATGAGACAAGTACAAAATAACAATATCAAATAATTCTATTATCTAGCATACTTCGATGTTCTTGTTTGACTCCAATGCTTCTTCTAATTTTCTCTGTGTCTAATCATCTTTGACAGCCTTTTAATTCATGTATTATAAAATTAAAATAATTGAGGAACTAAAGCTGATGCTAAAGTAATCTATTACAAATTAGACTTCGGAAATTTGTATATTGGAGAGCCATTATGTCTACTTCTTTAATAAGTTGAAATGATATGAAAAACAGAACAGTTAATAAAAAACTTGCAACCATGACTTTTAGCTAATTTAATCAGTGGCTAGATAACATATTTTTAGAATGAACAGTATTATCTTATGTATTGCATTTCAATACATCATAGATGCACTTGTATTCACTGGTTTAAAACATTATGGAGACTGTCTCACTTATGTTTTATAAGACGATGATTGTATTTAAATAAGTCTAACTCATTAAACAATGGGGGAAATTTGAATTCAAAAATAATTATATGTATTTTATATCTTTCAATATAAGATAAGATTTTCAATGCAGACATGATCAGAAACCCCAAGTGGAATACAGATCTAATTGTAACTTCAAGGGTGCAGGTGACTAGGTGGAACAGATAAAGCAAAGTTTGTGCTTCATTCACAAACTCTCTGCCCCATAGTAAAAGAGGTCTCCTAGTGATGTATATGTGTTATTAACCTGGGTATTAGAGAGCATTTATCTCATAAAACTTCTTTATAAACCAATTTACATGATATTTCTAGGGAGTCTAGCTCATAAATTCTGAACTTCAGGGTTTATTTTCTATATAGATTCAAATTCTTAACAGGCTATCCTGTTAAGAATATTCAATCTACCAATATCCTCTTTGTAGCAAAGGTATACTGCTTTAAACAGAACTCCAATTATCATACTAATAAGGAAATTAGACCAACTGACTTGCTTTTCTTCTTTTTTTGTGGGAGCATCCGTTTGATGTGGGCACAGCATGCATCAGGCTATCTGTTTGAATTTTGTTTTCCTTTTTATAATTCCAGATGATGTGATTGAAGAAAACAATGCTTCAGAAAGAATATTCCATGCACTAAGGTCACTTACTGGAGGAGGTATGTGTGTGTTTAGGTGCTACAATAAATAAATAGTAAGAATATCTATATATCTATCTATCTATCTCCATAAATGTATCTGTATCTATATCTATATCCATATATCTGTATCTACATCTATATCTATATATCTGTATCTATATCTAAATGTATATCTATATATCTGTATCTATATCCATATATCCATATCTATACCTATATCTGTATCTATATCTATATCTATATATCTGTATCTCTATCAAAATGTATATCTATATATCTGTATCTATATCCATATATCCATATCTATACCTATATCTGTATCTATATAACTGTATCTATATCTATCTATACCTATATATCTGTATCTACATCTATATCTATCTGTATACCTGTATCTACATTCATATATCTGTATCTATACCTATATCTGTATATCTATATTTATATCTGTATCTATATCTATATCTATTCCTGTTAGATTGTGGCAGAGCATTTAATCATTTCGCAGTGTATCCTTTTTCTCTCTTTGACTCACTCCACGCACATGCAAGCGATATTCTATCATTTTGGCCAAATGTAGTCTGAGTGAAATTTGTTATAAAAACTTTAAAAAGAAATGATTCTTCAAAAATTTTGCTGACCTGGAGAGTTGGTAAATTAGGCATCTGGAGCACAATACTTTTTATGCTTTTATATTTTTGCTGTGTATTGTTTTATTGCAGGATATTTTATTGTAATGGCACTCATTTTTGAGACCACACTTACTTTTATGACTTCCATGTGATTGGAATATATTACATAAGTGTAACTTGACTTATTATTTGAAATAGATGTGTGCATGAGTATTCCTAAAAGTCACTTTACTAGAAGTCTATATTTTATATAATTTACAGGAATGGATCCCTATGGGCAAATCTCATGAACTTTCATTTGCACAAATCTTTTCCAGCTGACAATATAATAGGACATCATGTCTTTTCAAACTTCACAATTCTAAGATGTAGGAACAAGGAGTAGCTAAAGATGAACAAAACAATAAAATTATTAAGTGGTATAAAAGTGAAAAGAGCTGGATCATGGATTCTCAAAGTTACTAAATAACAGAGAGATGGTAAACATACGGATAAAGGAGATAGAGGAATTTAGATAAATGTATATAGAGATGAGATAGATAGATGGATAAATAGATGATTAACAGATAGAATGTGGTTCTGTGTTTACAATTTTTATTTTCTTTACCCATATGTGATGTCAAGGAATAATGCCTGAAAGCTATAAAATATCATATCCTTTAAGAGACTAAAAGGAAAAATAAATAAATGCATGTTTGTGAAAACAGGTGCTTCTTTAGTAACAAATATAATATTTATATTAGAGATTCAAATTCCACAAAACAAAATGTATTTAATTTCATGTTGTCTTTGTATTTAAACACCCTAAAGTCTATATATTTTTTGTCTGTTCTACTTAATATGACTGGTTTAATTCTGTAATTAATACACAGTTATTCTTAAGTGTTGAAAATTAACTGAAATGTGATCCCTGTTAAACATAAGAGTGGGAATAAGAGAGGGAAGAGATGTATAATTTGGGACATGCTCAAGCTGACTTGCCCCAATTCGTAGAGTTAGAAACATACCAGGGGATTCCAATTCAATCCCATCTAGGTGGCATGTACCAATGCCATCTCACTATTCCAAGTGATCAATTTCAGTTCACAATTGATCATAATGAAAGGACTAAGAGTCAAAGGGAGCACATAAACAAGTCTAGTACCTGCTAACACTAACCGATAGAATAAATAAAGGGGAGCGTGATCCAACATGGGAAGTGAGATACTCAGCAGACTCATAGAATGGCAGATGTCCTAAATAGCACTCTGGCCTCAGAATCAGCCCTAAAGGCATTCGGATCTGGCTGAAAAGCCCATGAGAGTATTTCAGGCATGGAAAGCCAAGACACTCTGGCAAAAGATCTCTGTGAGTGAGATCCCAGTGGAAAGAACAGGTCTTCAAAGAAGGAGGTACCTTTCTCTGAAGGGAGGAGAGAACCTCCACTTTGACTATGACCTTGTCTAAACAAGATAAGAGTCAGAGAACTCAGAGGGCTTCCATAGCCTTGGAAACTCATGACTGGAGCATAGGGAGATTACTGATGCCATAGACAGGAGTGTCAATTGGTAAAGTCAACAACAGGAGTCACTGTGCACTTACTCCTCATGTAGGATCTCTGTCCTTAATGTGCTGTGCATTAGATTTAATGCTATAACGAGTACTCAAACAGTATATTTCACTTTGTGTTTCTATGGGGGTGCAAACTGTTGAAATCCTTACTTAATGCATACTAAACTGATCCTCTGTAAAAAAAAAAAAAAAAAGAAAAAGAAAAAAAAAAAGAAATTATCAATTCCCAACTTGACTCTCACTGGGATTAAACATGACAATAGGTCTGCTCTGATTTCATCATCATTTAAAAAAAATCATCTATTATTTTTCACTTTATGTTTCTGTGTGGGAGCAAACTGTTGAAATCCATACTTGATGTATACTAAGCTGATCTTCTGTATATTAAGATAATCAAAAATGAATCTTGATGTGAATGGAAGGGGAGAGGGAGTGGGAAAGAGGAGGGTTGTGGGTGGGAGGGACGGTATGGGGGGGAAGCCATTGTAATCCATAAGCCGTACTTTGGAAATTTATATTCATTAAACAAAAGTTAAAAAAAAGAGATATACAGAAAAAGGAAAACCAAACTAACAGCTAATTTGTTCTTTATCATCTTCGTAATCAGGCAGGTCTTCATTCAATGCAAGCCAATGTATGTATCTTTTTTCTTTTCTTCATAATGCATGGAAATAAAAAGAATATGTACATGAAAAAAAATAAAAAAATAAAATATTATTTCTGTCCTTAAAATTTCTACAAAAATATGAATAGTAGAATATTTTATGATAAGATATTCATATTTAATTATATACTGAAAATATAATCAATATTCCTCTTTTTTAATAATCCTATCCACAAATTAGAAAGTCAGTGTCAATTTATAGAAACAGAAGACTGATTTGCCATGTTATTGCATTATGTTAGTTTTTAAGGAGAACAAATGAAACACACATCTAATACATAAAATAATATCAAAACACATTATAGAAAATATTAATAATTGTAACATGGATCTACATAAAATAGGTAATAAAAAAGTAATGTGGCTAAATACATCTGAATTTGTTGTCTTAAGCATAATGGTGCTAATAAATTCTATAAATTGTTTCTATGCACAAATACACATACACAGTTTATGCCTATCCTATCTTCTTTTCTGTATCTTCAACCTCTCAGCCATCTCTCTCCCATCAATATTTACATATCCAAGTTAACCCTGTTGAAGCCCCACTATAGACCCGTCCTCCACACCAAAGGATCTCTTAGTCATCCTTTTCATTCTAACCTTTCACTTTCCAATCTCTCATTTTCATCAACAACAACCTTTCCTCTTAGATTTTTATGACTTTATTTTCCCTTAATATTCATTAAGTATTACCCAACAAATTGCTGTTAACATCCTTTAAATTAATTGACTGCTCCAATATCGGTCTTTTCTAGAGGATGGAAAATTGTTTCTCTATTCTACCCAGCATTTTTCGCTAAGATATAGAACTCTATCTGAAACATAAAAAATAATTCACAGGGCGCTGGCATTGTGGTTGTGCAAGTAAAGCTGCCATCGCAATGCTATGACTTCACATTGGCAATGATTGGTATCCCAGCTGCGTTACTTCTGGTCCAGCTCCCTGCCAATGGCCTGGGAAAAGCAGTGAACCATGGTCCAGGTGCTTGGGCCCCTTCTAACCAGGTGGGAAACCCAGGTGAAGCGCCTGGATCCTGGCCTCAGTCTGGTCATTGCAGCCCACTACAGAATAAACCAGGGGGTGGAAGGTTCTCTTTCTCTGTGTCTCCCTCTATCTCTATAACTCTTACAAATAAATCAATAAAGATTCCTTTGCAAAACACCATCAATTTAGTCATAGGTATTTCTTAGAGCTGCAGTAACATCCACACTCTCTCGGCACCTATATTCTTTCTGTTTTTTTTTTTTTTTTCCTTTTTGTCCCATACACTAATGAAAATATCATGTAGCTGATTCATACCTTTCTTTCCTTGTCTACTTTCAGATTTATATGGGAGGTCTCATTTAATACATTTACAGGATTTTTAAGGGGTAGGCATTGTTGTGCACCAGGTTAAGCTGCCGCTCAACATGGTGCCCATACTTAGTGCCTGGTTTAAACTCTAGCTACCCATCTTCCATCTAACTTCCTGTTAATGCACACCCTGGGATGTAGTAGATGATGGTTCAAGTAATTGCATCCCTGCCGCTGATCTGGGAGACTCATATTGATTGCTAAGCTCTTGTCTTTGAACTGGCCTAGCCCTGGCTATTTTGAGTATTTAAAGAGTAAAACAGAAAATGAACACTCACTGTCTCTCTGTCTCTCTTTTCTCTCTCTCTCTTTATATGAAAATAAATAAATAAATAAACAAACAAACATATAAACTCAGTTCTTGGATATATGAGGACTGGTGGAGAGGAGACAGTTGTTAAGGGAGACTATGGAAGGGAAGAAGTAAGGAAGAGGGATGAATGGTGAGGGGATCAAGTGCCAGGCTACTGTGACATTTCAATACACTATTCCTAGCCAGACGCTATTTTGAATGCCATTCACACTCCTAATATTATTTTTTCTGAATCAACAAACACTTTAATAGTTTATAAACTTGTAGTTTCACTCCAATATGTTGGCCCCTCTTGGATTCTGACAAAAACACTCCACATAGTTCCTCCTTAGTCCAACTGTGGGAGAAGAACTTTCTTTGGTTCTCAGAGATTTTTTCTTCTTTTTCTCCAACTGAATCAGTACCTTTTTATTCTTTGATAATCTCTTCTCTTTGTAGGTGATGAAATGTGTTAAGGCTCCACTTTAAATGTTGGCACTGCTATAAGCATGGTTTTTCCCTTTACTGTAATTCGGAATTAAACTTTAGATTTTCAGTTTTTATATTCCAATCCCGTAAGTTTTCACTGTAGAAGTTTTCTGAAGACAGTCTTATACTTTCTAGTAGTTATCTACAAAGCAGGCATTAGCTTCTCCAGGACACTACAGGATGCATGTAGCTTAAATGTATATTAAAATATTCTCTGAAATGAGTTTAAATGAATTTTATTTTTAGACAACCTATATGACATTTTTTTTCCTTAAAAACAATGCTTCCACTCCAAGTAAATCATGGTCGAATAAGTGAGGAGCTCAAGATAACATCAGTCCCACTTCCTGTAAGTTCTGGTGTTGTGTGGGTGACAAGCAGCAGCCAGATATGAGAAGTGGTAGATCCGAATTGCCAATTTTGTTAACAATTTTCCATTTCTAAATCATCCTTAAAGAAAATCATAAATGGGCTCACACCATCCCCACGGTCGTCCTGCAGAGCAACCAACCATGCCATCTGGATTCATGTTTTCACCAATGTAGATCTGGTAGGTTTTGAAATTAGCAAGGATGTGCTTGATTTGTTCTGCAGCCCCCATCATAAACGGTTTTACTCTTCTGGTCTCTGTTCTTCAAGTTTGCCTTTGATTGATTTCATGTAATCTTTGACACACTTCTCGTAGGCTTCTTTTGTGAAGCTGGTCTCCTGCAGATGGTGGTTCATAATATCAACACCAGTGTTTACAGTGTTTTCAGTACCTTTGCCCCTGGGGCCTCCAGTGGAGGCATTTACACCAATGAGTGACTCATCATGTTGCCCTCGGTCCTACTGACCATCTTCCCTTGCACCTTTAGGCACAGTCTGCCCAAGATCTACCGGATCCTGTAAATGTTCCAGAACATCTCGTGGTGGTGACGAGGTCTCAGTAGTTAATCACAGTGGTGGCACTAGCTTGGCAGGAGCTCAGAGTTGGGGGTGAGCGCGGTGCAGCCAGGGTGGCCCTTGGTTGGGGGGGGGGCAGAAAAGCTCAGAGTTTCTCACCTTGTAGAAGGCAGTGTCTTTATCAGGAGCCCACTCTTCAGTATGTTGCTGATGTAGTTGGCCCACTGCTAAGGAATATTAAACACTTCGCCAAGTGAAACCAAGACGGATTTCCAACGTTTGCAGCAAATCAGCAGGAGGAGGCTGAAAGTGTTTCCTATGAGGCTACCAATGGAAGCCATTTTTTTATTGTTGCCAGTGGAATGAAAATTACAGGATAATGTCATTGTCTTTACCTGGGTTTTCAGCCATTCCGGCTCATGAAATCAATAAGAGGAATATAGGTATAAAATTCCAAACATACTGGAACAAAACCAAAATTGAGACATCCTGGTCACTAAAAGCCACTCTGATGATGCATGCTTATTGAAAATCTAAGGAAGAATTTCTTCTCAATCAAAGCTTTTTTTTTGAGATGGTTTCATATATATATACCAAATTAATAAAACTTTAGTTTAAATTATCATACATATTATTTAATTTTAGGACATTCGGTTTTAATATATATGTCACCTGAATAAAAGTTTATTTTTGGTTCAAAATTATGGCAGAGAGGGTTGGCATTTGGGATTTAATTCACAAAGTTAACAATATCAATACTGGCTGTATTCTAAAATTTGCTTTTGTCTCTTAACTGTATTCACACATTAACTCTTCATATTGCTACCTAAACATACCAGCAAACACACAAAATCAAACAGAGCAAAGGAATTCTCTAAAGTAATCACCAATATTGTTACTAACCAACAGGTACAAATTGACCTGTTGTTGTTTTTATGATAACACAGCAATAGAACCAAACTTCTTGTGGCTGTATAAGCAGCAGATATCCTGAAGATAATTTGGGCTTTCTTCAACTGGGAGCTAAGGCATATTTTAAAACTGAAGAAGTCTGAAATTAAAGAATATTGTGAAGAATCTTGGAGATCCACAATATCAGTGTATCGAAATAGGAACAAGTATTGAAAATTTACCATATATCCCTCATGGCCTTATTTAAAATTGGAGAAATATGTACACTGTCATCAAGTTGATCAAGATTGTGGTATTATCCAATGTTACTCTGTAGTCAAAGGAAAATAATGTATGAAAGAGATGGTTGAAAATCTAGAAGAAATGATTTTTGAGCATGTGTTCCAGAAATACAGGAAGGCAAGAGGACTGTAGTCATTGTAGCAAAGGCATTGACCAGAAGGATATGAATCCAGGAAGGTACTTACAATCTTTCATCCTCCCAGTAAATGTCAACTTCACCATGGTGAATGGTATCAATTGGAAGAGCCCTATTAAAAGTAGTGTTTTTTTTGGTAGTAATGCAGAAGATATATAAAATAGAAATGACCGTAACTTCATTTCACCATCTAGAAATAAAAGCAGTTATTTTGTTGGTGCATTTATTCTAATCTCTGTCAATGTCCATATGCTGTGTGAGAGCATATTGGGGAGAATCGCGGGGAGAGAGAGACAAAGAAAGAGAGTTCAACAGTGTGTTCAATGTCTTCATATTTTTATATATAAAAATCTGTTATAGGTAATTTCTCAAATTTCTCTTTTAAATTAATATTATCATCTGACTGTTCTCGAAATAATGGATTTTTACCTGAAACTTTCTCTGCAATTGTTGTATCATTTACGACATTAAAATCAGTATTAAATTCATCTTCATAAATAATATGTTGTATAGTATTCTTCAACTTACAACTCTTATGTATGATTTCATCTTTGGGTTTATAGTAAATATTTGTTCAAATATTATCCTGGTTACCCATTTTCAAAATGTTTTTCACA